GTGTGTGTGTGTGTAGATGGTAAATGAAGCCTATAATGAGCAATCTAGTTCAACCTGAGGCCAGCGCTGCCTGTTCTTTCATGTGGACCTCAGCAGGAACAGAACGCTGAGCTAATGTGTTAGCAGTAGAGAGAGACGGCCTTTGATGATGATGATGATGATTGTGGTGTGTGTGTGTGTGTGTGAGCAGAACGTTACAGGTCCTGAGGAAGACGCTGAAGCAGTCGTTCTCTGGCTGCACCGTCATCCTATCAGAGCACAGAGTGGAGCCGCTGCTGGAGTGTCAGTCATTCCTGGTAAGTTTTGGATTAAATTTGGATTTTACATTCAAAGCTCAGGTGTTGTAGAATATACTACAAAGAGTTTAACTGGCTATGAAACAGTCTAAATTCAACCAAGAAGAACAGGTCAGATTCCCCTTGAAATCAATGAAACGAGGCGGTGGGAAAAAAACGCTTTTGTCCACAGGGTGCCTCCAGAATCAACAGAAAATGAAACTTGTTGCTGCTTTAAGTTGGCCTGTTATGAAATGACAGGAGATCAAGCCCCAACCCTTGGCGTGTGGGTCTGCACGCGTGTGTTGGAGTGGTTGTCTGCTTGTTAGCAACGGGGGTCTGTTTGTGGAACAAGCAGTTGGCATGACGGACAAAAAAATGATCCTTAAAAGAAAGTAGGTTTTGCTTTAGATTGAACTGAACCGGACTTTTAAATTTACAGCTGTCTTTCTTTACTGAAAAATGTTGGAAAAGAAAACTATTTCATATTAATGGTGAGACAATGGAGGACAATGCATCCCGTATCACCAGCTGGGTGTGTTTGTTGTTGGCTGTGGTTGTAGAGTGGACCTGATGTGACTTAGTGCTGAGGGAAAGTTCGCTTTGTTCTGCACAAAATGTGACAACTGAAAATCCCATCACAGCCCTCACATAGACTGTATTCACACAACTTTTAGATTATGGAAATATTAAATGTTTTTCCATATATTTTAAAGCACTCAAATCTCCTGTTACCTTTAAAAGGCCAATTTTCTTCACACAAAACCTGGAAAATAATTTATTTTACAAAATGAATTACCTGCAAAATGTCCATCTCCAATCAGCTTTCATCAACATCATATTTTGTAAGAACACACAACATTAGAGGCCCAGATAAACACGCATCCTCTCCTCCCTGTCTGTGCAGATGATTGAGGGCAGCGCCATTAAAAGCTACGACTCCATCCAGAAGCTGCTGAACGAGACAAGTCACCTGAAACAGGCCATGAGCCCCGCTGACCGGCTCCACCTCTTCCCGACGCTGCACCGCCTCAACTCTAGCAAGAGGGCCCCGCAGCAGACCGCCAAGATCTCGTCCCTGCCAGAGGAAGCTGAGGACGAAGTCCACGACACTCGCCTCTAACCAGCCAGACACACACACACACGCACCCCTAACTCTAATGGACAAAAAGGAGGGTTTGACCCAGTGTTTTGATACTGAGTGTTCAGTAGTTTTACATTTTTGAGAAGTTATTCCCTCAAATTAAAAGTAAGACAGCATCTCAGTCACTGTGGGACACTAAAACCCTCAACCGGTACCCGGACAAATTATTTTATTCAAGTGTAGGAAAATTCACTTCACACTGAATCATTAGAGACTAAAATCAAAAATTAAATGTGAGAAAATTTTCATCATATTGACATCAAACTAAATTGACTTGTTTATTCTTGATTTTTAGTAAACCAACACCAATATATATATTTAACCCTCATATGCATACATGTAACACATACAGTAAAAACACAGCAAAGAGCCGTCCACTGACATGCATTTCACTGTCACACAATAATGCTGATGTATGGAGTTCATTTATTGGCGGGACTATACACAATATAAGTGGTAGAGGAAGTCTTGCACACAAATTCAGTTCTAGATGGATTTAAACAATGTACAGGGAAGAATGAGGTCTGAGGTTACAGAAATAGATCTTCAAATTACAAGTGTGCAACACTACATCTCGAATGTTGACCAACACAGTACAACATAGCTGCACATTTAGAAAATATATTAGTAAAAACATTTGTATGTATTGAAGTTATTAGGTTGTACAACTGATGCAAAAATCTGCAGGTTTCAAAGTTGAAGCGTTTGTTGTGTGTGTCACTAAATTAGCATGAAAGATAAACTCCTCCATGTAACATGGACCACCTGGGAGCAGAGGAAGATGCTAAAAAGAAGTAAACGTGACGTGTAAATTAAGCACATAATAACTGCTGCAAAATCTATGCTTCAGTCTGACTGACTGGACACTTTTTTTAACCATTTGAGTGCCTTTGCAGGTGGAGGTCAGTCAGGAAAGGTTTTTTGTCTGAAAAAGCAGAAATTGTGTTTAAAAAACATTTTCATTGACTTGAATTACTTTCTGTTCTGACTAGTGAACAACTAGCCTTTCGTTTGTTTTAACTCGGAGTGAACACAGATCAGCAGCCACTGTAGAAATCTGACTCGCTCTATGTATCTTGCATGAGGGAGTGATCAGATTGGATCTTCTTTCTCCTGTAATTACAAAGTGTAACTCAGCCGTGTGAGCAAACAGACAGTAAGGACTTCAAAGCACAACATTAACCCATCGTATGCACATAATCCAATCAGCTTCAGGTAGGTAGCAGGACGTTTTCTTAGTGTTGCTTCTGCTCTGGGGCGCTTCACAATCCTGCAGGCAGCCAAATCACACAGACATCCCATCGTCTACATGTTATGAACTGTAAGGGTTATTATCTAGATCTATAATGATCAATCAAGGCACCCAGCTTCACTGTTTGCTCTCAACAAATAAAAATATAGTGCTGCTTTATTCTTAAATGCTGCTTGTGGAGGCTTGTTGAAAACCATTTTTTCCCCCATTGACTTTGTGATATTAAGCAGCCTGGTGAGGACAGTCGGGCCTTTCAAACCGCTGCAGCATATGTTAGAATCAGCGTACATTGAATGGATGGATGCATCAGTAGTGCTTAATTACCGCTGACCGCCTTGCTTCTGATGTGAATTACCAGTCGAACCTTGGCTCAGTTTGAATAAATCTCACATTTTAGTGTGGACAAGGAAAACAAAGCTCGTCAAACACTTTCATGTTAAGAGAACTACTTTCTTGTGGCTCAGTGAATCATTGCTGCAATCATTTCATCGATACAGAGGTCATAAACCTTATTTAATGTTATCACACAACAAGTATTTAATTAATGTCACTGTTGTGAACAGAAAGCATTAACGATCAAAGGACAAATATCACTGTTTATGTAACAGAAACAGAATAATTCACTATATAGTAAAACTGCTGCTGCTAACACACAGATCAAGCACTCTGTATACAGGCAATGTATAGGTATGTACAAACTTTAATAGGCTGAAAAGAGACAAAAACATTTAATTGAAAAATCTGAGTATCCTACAGATAAAGAAAGATCAGAGCTCTGTGAAACAGTTGTAGAGAATCAAAGCAAACTGCAGCTCAGAGTCTTCTACAGTGGCTTCTTCTGAATATTTTCTTTAGTATCTTTGGTTAGTCAGCGTGAGCCTGCAGTAATTTCTCTCACACACACACACACACACCAACAGTGACGCTGTTCTCTCCGACTCTTCTGACGAGTGATGACTCAGATACCCTTATTTTTCTATCTGAATGCACTTTAGAGACACGCTGAGGTACTCATCAGCTTCCACAGCAAACAGTCAGATGATTAAACAATTTTCAATTCCTCCATAAAATGAAGTGTAGATGTAGAATTGTGACCTTTGATAACAAATTGTGCTTTTTTCAGCCTCTGTTGCTTGATCAATAACAGAGAGGTCGTTCATCAAAGAAACAAACATTTTCTATGTGAAATAAAGTATATTTTTTCAGAGCCTCTGCTGTACAAACGCAAACATTTGTTTTTTTTTTATCATTTTCCAAGTTCTATCTGTACTTTCCTCTGAAACTGGAAAGCATTTTGACTCTTCCAACGACTTTATTTTCTTTGGTTGAGGGAAGAGTGCGTTGCTCCTATCTTTCTGAATAAGAGTTTTGTAAAGCAGTGATGCAGAAAATGAAGGTACCATGGAGTAATGCCTTGATGTGTTAACTGTGACCGATGACAGAGTTTTTTTATTACAAAGTAAATTAAGAACAAAGCTGTTTCTTACTCATAGGAAAAGGGACACAGATGTCCAAAACATGTATAAATGTATTTGTTCAATCAACTATATTTCCAGTAAAAATAAGATTTTGAGAATTTTCAGTGTGGATTTGTCATTTTTGTTAAAAGCTGGTGAATTGGGTTGTGTTGTTTAATTTTTTTTGGTGTGACGTAAAAGACGCATGAATTCTGATACGACTGTTCACACTGACGTCACATTGCAATCAGACCTGTATTTAGACCACATATGTAAGTGTCCAAATCAGAATGGAAAAGATCTGATTCCATGTGAAAAACAGATCTGAGTCACATAACAAACAAAATAATCAGATCTGGGTCCCTGGGTGCCTGCAGTGTGAACGTAATGAGGTCTGACTCGCAGTCAGTATTCCAGGTCAGTCTGTGCAGCCCACTCAAATTATTCCTCACCAAACTGGGACCACAATACATTTATACGAAACAATGATCTGAACAGAAGAACAGACTTTTACTTTAACTGGGACTGGGTGCTAAAGACGATAAAATAAAAAGATCCAAAATGTGTGTACACAAGATTAATATTTACTTTACTTTGGGGGCTCCTTAAGGCCCTGTGTTTCATTAAAAATGAAAAATGGAGAATAAAATAACAGAAGTCCGGTGGGGATTTTTAACAGTGCCATTTTAATGTTTGTGCTTGAAAGACAATTCTTTAAACCTCAAACAGCTATCGTACAGCTCAAAATCATAGCTTGACTAAAATCTCTCCTGTACATATATATAGTGTCCCCTTAAAATAAAACTTAAAAGTAAAAACATACGAAGAACACAGTGATAATGGAAAGCAAAACAGAAAGTCTGAATTACACTGTAGGGCTCAGCGAGGGTTAAATTGAACATGACTCGGGGGGAAATGATGGGCATTTAAAATATTTATTATGGCTTACAGTTGATTGAGGACATCCTGTGTTTATACAGTTCTATTACTTATTGCCACAACCCCTTCACTTTGAAACAAGTGAAGGGTTCAGAACCAAACTCGTTTTACAAACACTATGTACAAGTTCTTTTTTTTCAGCAGTTTTGCTTTAAGGTTTCGTCACTGTACAAGCGTCATACCACATACACCAATCTATAGAGCATTTAAACTTACTAATTCTTATTTACAAATATATTTGGTAAAACCCTGATTAATTTCAACAGTATTTAAACCAACCTTGCAACTATTTAAAGATAAAACAATTGAATATCTCAAAATACTTAATAGCAAAAACAACAAAAAAAAGAAAAGAAAAACCTGCTTGTTTCTTTCTTTGATCCAAAAACACTTTTCACTAAAAGGTATAATCTGTAAGTACCTTCAGTTACTCTCCAATGGCCTTATACCAGTAGAAGTACAGTATTTCACTTTAAGTACACAAAAATACTGTCAGTACTGTTTTGAGGCAGTTTTCACCGGTCAAATACTTTATATATCTCAACTGTTATTTCAGTAAGTCCTTACACTGTATCCTGTCTACTCAATACTGTCATATAATACGCAGGTTGATACACTGGAATAAGGCAACAGTAAAGTAACCTGCTGCATTACCTTCTGTTGTTTTTACCCAAGTGAAATCTTACCAAACCAAACGATCAAATACTTCAAATACTGTAATAGAATAAAACTATGGTCCCCAAGTACACAACTGTAGTACAGTGTAACAAGTACGGATAACAAGTACAAATACTAAGAGTCAAAGGTCGTCAGGTACCTAGTCTTTACATCATGGAGGGAGGTTCACAGCGGAATCATAGGGGGATGGGATGCGGGGGGTTTCGGGCAGGGGTCTACTTGCTGTTCATGTTGTTTTCATGCAGGTCTCTGTGGAGGATCCAGATGTCCTCGTGTGATTGGTTGTTGTCGATGTTGTTGCGGTAGTAGTTGTTGTTGCTGCTGCTGCTGCTGCTGCAGGGGGGGGGCTGCTTTGTTCTGCTGCTGCTGCTGTTGTTGGTGGTGGTTCTGCTGCGGCTGGGGGGCGTCTGGGTTCGGCAGGGGCTGCTGCTGCTGCTGCTGCTGCTGTTATTGTTGCTGCTGGTGGCAGCGGTGGAAGCTCGTGTCTGCTGCCCCCTGCTGCTGGGGACGGGCAGCTGTGATTTGGCGCGAGGGCCTGAACGCCGGTCGCTGTTCTGGACGGCTGCCTGGCTGGAACTGCGGCTGGACTGACGGACAACAGTCTGCACAAACAAACAGAGAGTTTGGTGAGTTTGGTTGGTCACTTACTGAACCAAAACTGCAACAGCTGCAGGTTCAGACCTGCTCCATATACATGACTGGGAGGTAATAGAAGCAGATGTAGAAACCAGATTGTTTATATTTGCTTCGCTACTTTCAGGCTGAAGCACTACGACGCATACCAACACCTTCAGAGGACAGATTTCAATCATTAGACTGTTTTACACTTATTCTCTTCATGCCGGGGTTAACACAAAATACAAAGCAAGAAACACAGTCCGAAATCTAGAAGGATATTCAGTAATAAAGAGAAAAATGTATGTATGTTCTTCAAGGTCTGTCCATTGGTATTAAAATTACTCAAACATCTCTTCTTTATTGATAGAATAGCTTTTTTCCAGCAGTTCCGGTGGTGAAGGTCCTGAAAAGGTTTAATGTCAGGATCAGTCATAGTTGTTCAGAAATGTAAAAGAACTGCAATGCAAATAATTCATACATCACACCATCAATCCTCTGTAACACAGAAACAATGAGCTTAAAGAGGCTAAAAAGGCCTGAAGTAAACCTAACAGTACAGTCCTCAAACTCTTAATGCTGAACGGGTCAATTATGTGTGTGAGGCAACGCCAAACACAGCACAGACACATGATTAAAAGTTGCACAAAACAATCTTACACACACTCATTTTAAATTTGAGTCACTGGTTTGTGGCTCAGTCAGGACGCTTAGTGGAGTGACGATGATAAGAGAGGGTAGCACCCTATGAGAGG